TATGTATTATAATGTTTGCATAGTGCATTTTTCCAAATTAAGTTTTTTTTTTTACATTTTCCTTGAATATACCGTATAACGGGTATTTTCTGCCGTTGTCCAATTTTTGCGGAATTTTGCGGATAGGACAAATCCGCAAAAATTACAATCGCAAAATATTTTTTCAATATTCATTCAGATATTTTGTACATGCAATTATGATAAGTGGTGCGTATGTCTGACAGGGTTCTCATTAACGCAAGAACCTGCGTACTGGACACAGAAAAATTATTTGGAACGCAAGGTTTTTAAAATCGAGACGTCCGCTTGCAGACTCCTGAGTGGCCACATCCTCGTTAGCGAGAAAATTCAGGTGTGATCGAAATTCGAAGATTTAAGATGTCAGGATTTGTCCAAAACATATTGAATCAAAACCTTCCTGTAAATAATATCAATTAAATAAGTTGATACAAAAACATCTTTACTTGTACCTATTTCCCAATTATTAGTCCAAACTCCGATAGCTGCAGACAACACATGGTAGCTTTACTTTTTTAAATACTTTTTTTCAATCTTGTGTTTTGTATTGAGACAATAATTACTGCTTGTATACACAATGTGGCTCGATTGTCTCGTGAATTTCACCCAATGCATACGACTGATAGGATTAGTTACGCCTCAATGCACATGACACCTGTGATTGTTAACCGTCAACTTTGGGGTACTTGATTATGCAACTGTTTGTTTTAGCTTAAAATATAAACACCAAATTAATTTTGATGACAGTTAACTAGAAATGTATTTTAGAATATGGCTTGGATGCATTTATTATAATTATCTAAATATATATAAATACTAGTATTTTAACAGATCGCATAGAACGTCTGCTAGAATAAAGCTTTGTATTGTTGTTTTGGGTGGACTGACACTGCATTAATTCATTTCAATTGGTACTCGAAATATTTTTTTACAAAAACTAAATAAAAGATAGTGGTTTAATTAAGCATAATAGCTTAATACCAGTTTTCATGCACCTTTGATCAATACAGTGTATGTCTTAATGAATTTATAAATCGTAAACATGACAGCGTTCTGATAATTCATAAAGTTTAGTGCATGATCATACCCCATAAATAATTTTTTGCGGTATAATGCAACCGCAGAAATTGAAAACGCAGAAATAAATTTGCTACCTTTTAGGGGTTAAATCGCAAAAATTTCCAACCGCAGAAAATACCCGTTATACGGTATGGTGTCAAGAAAGTGCCTTTCTCAAACAGTACTGACAATCAGTCATGGAGGCAAGACTGGAAATGAATTTATTGCTTTATTTGTAGTTTTAAAGGCTTTATTTGTTTTGTTTTTTTTTTTAGTGTAATACAAGTCAGTTTGAGACAGAATAGGATTTTTCTTGAAGAAATGGATTTTATTAAATGAAGAATTATCAGACCAGTGTCCCATGGTGTTCTGATTCTGTATTAAAGATTCATTATTGTATTCAACACTCCATTATTGTGGATCTGAAGGATTCAAGTTGACAAGTCATGTAATTAAAATGATTATCACATTTCAGATAAATTTAGGATTTCCTTCACTTTTCATTTGACAATAAGTTAATAATTAAAAATAGTGTCTGACAACATTTCCTATTTAAAATTGCTATTTTTGAACTTTCCATAAAAAATTAATGCTAGTACATTTTTGGCATTTTTTATTGTATTATTTTGACATTCTTAGGGTTGAATAATTTGATGTTTTTGCAGATTGATTTGAAAGAACATGGTTTGAAAAATATACATTTTATACAACTAGAATTGTATTATTTAATTGAGTAGCATGACTATTATGGAAATAAACAGTATATACCAGTATGTATATCCAGATAAAGGTGAAGTATGTTACAATACATGCATGCTTTATCAATACTGCTACATCTAATTGTCACCTCTATAAATATATAGTGCAATGTATGTTAGGAACAGAGCACAAGCCTATATTGTAATTAATATACAATTAATTAGTGCATTGAAGGATAAAACTGTTAATCTTTGTATACTGCTGAATAAAAAAACCACCATGAATTAAGCTTGGTTTTGTTCATTGTAAATTACATGTATGTTTAACAAAACAAGAGGCAGATTTAGATTCCATAAGTAATATTCATTTGTTATTTAAAGTGTTTAAACACACTTTCATTATGATGTCATTGATTTTGTTGGTGTGGCTGATTTCTGCTTACATCTGTACAATATATGACTGAACCTGATTCGAATCTGGAACCCATACATCACAGGTCAGGTGCTATAAGTACTGAGCTACCAAGGCCAATGTCGGTCATTATCATGTGAACAGTATGCCTCCCAAATATTCATTAGTAAAGATTTTCTAAGGTTTAATCTATTTTCTATTTATGACCAACATAGGCCCACCATGGAGCCATAAAACTTAGACAAGCCCACTTTTGTTCTCAGTCTCTTTTTGATCTCAGTCTCAATAGTGAAAACATGAAACTGAGATCAGAAGTGAGTTTATCCAAGGTTTTTTGCCTAGGATCCTGGAAATGCCAATTTTTTTTTTAAACTTAGATGAAAGGTTAATCAAGTGCTTATAAACAGTTTGCCTGTCGCATACCAAGGAGTAAAAATGTTTTCAAAATCGTATTTTAAATATATGACCAACTTAACTCCATCCCGAGACCGTACTTCTGGCATCCCGAGACCGTACTTGTGACAGAGGGCTAAGTGTGCACTGTAATCATGTTAATAGATCTAATAAATGTCCATGAGTTAAGAAGTATACAAAAGGTATAAAATGTTTTCAATAAATCAAAAGGGCCAGGTATCTCCAACTTAGACCCACCCTAGCGTCTGAGTGCTGGGCCCAGGGTTCTTGTATTTTACACTTTTGGGAAAGGGTTATGCATTCATTGTAACTTTATAATCAGTTTACCACTAGACGTCCTTTAGAAAAGATTTTCATAGATGTAATGTATTTTCAATATATGACTAAGCCCCACCTTAAGGCCTGAACCATAGGGGGCATAAATTTCAAAATTTTGGTAAAAGGTTGAGTACTCATTATAATCATGCAAAGATACTAGATGTTCAGAAGTATAAAAGAATATTTTTAAGATGAAATATGAAGAAAATGAACAGTAATCAAGCTCAAAAGTTCATTATAACAATAGAAATTGGGAGCAGAGCAAATATGGACCTCTAAAAATGTCAGAGGTTGGATCAGGTGCTATGGAGGAGTAAGTATGATGCATATTCAACTTATAACCAATTCAGCCCCAACTTACAGTCGGAACCAAGGGGTGATGAATTTCACAATTTTATTAGAGGACCCACTGCTTATAATTATTATGCCAACAGTTTGCTTGATGTCCAGGAGTAAAGAAGAGGATTTTTTTGAAGATTACATTAATTTTTAAAGGTTTTTGGGCCCACCCTCAGCCCCCAGGTAGGGGCTATCTATGAGATTTTCTTCTTCTCTTCCCCTTCACCCATAAATACTATATACCAAAAGCTGAAATTGGTTCAGCAGCTCCAGAGAAGAAACTACTAATGTTAAAAAATGTGCAAGCGACGGACGATGGCGGTCAAAACCAGAGCAAAATGTCTCCTGAGTGACTTGGTAAGTATACCTTTTAGCTCACCTTGACGAAGTCAAGAGGAGCTTATGCTTTACTATACCTGCGTTGGTGTCCTTGTTAAAGTTTAGGAGACAGTACCATGTTTGAAAAACGTATAGAGACACATTTCTAAAGTCATAACAATAACAAACAAGAGGCCCATGGGCCACAACGCTCACCAGAGTAACTTTGGCCCTGCTGTTCTTCACCTGATTTCCCCCTTGTAATACCTATTGTGACCCCACCCTACCCCAGGGGTCATGATTTGAATAATTTAGAATCTACACAACACCAGGATGCTTCCACTTAAGTTTCAGATTTTCTGGCCCAGTGGTTCTTGAGAAGAAGATTTTTAAAGATTTTCCCTTTATATCTCAATGTAAAAATTGGATTCCCTATTGTAGTCCCGCCCTACCCCCGGGGATCATGATTTGAACAATTCAGAATCTACACTACGCCAGGATGCTTCCATATAAGTTTCAGCTTTTCTGGCCCAGTGGTTCTTGAGAAGATTTTTAAATATATTTTTAACATATTTCAGTGTAAAAATTGGATTCCCTATTGTGCCCCCGCCCTACCCCCTTGGGTCATGATTTGAACAATTTAAAATCTACACTACCCCAGGATGCTCCCATATAAGTTTCAGGTTTTCTGGCTCAGTGGTTCTTGAGAAAAAGATTTTTTAATGACCCCACCCTGTTTTTTTTCTTTTCTTGATTATATCCCCTTGGAAGTGGGCTTGGCCTATAGTTTTAACAATTTAAACTCCCCTTTACCCAAGGATGCTTTGTACCAATTTTGGTTAAAATTGGCCCAGTGATTTTTGAGAAGAAGTTGAAAATGTGAAAAGTTTACAGACGGACGGACGGACAACGGACAACGGGTGATCAGAAAAGCTCACTTGAGCTTTCAGCTCAGGTGAGCTAAAAACTATTTCAGTATTCATAAGTAAGTGCATATTTACATGATGAGTCTGAATACAATGAAATTTCAGATGTTTTGTTGAACGTATTATAGATAATAACGATATCAATTAATAATTAACTGCATTTCAATAAAATAAACCATTTTAAAAATTGATAACACAGAATAACATATCTTATCTACATGCAGAGTCGACATGAGTAGCAAGCACAATTCAAATAAGAGAAAAAATTGAAATAATAACTATAACATTCTTTTTAATAACTTAAATACATGAAGTAACACTGTTCTAGAAATTAAAAAGCAATTTAAAGAATGTTTTTGACTGAGTCTACTTATGCAAAGAATTCGTCGAAAAGTCCAGTCAAAATGTTTAAAAAATATATATATATACAAACAAAAAGATTGCAATGTGGAGTTGGACAAATTGCTAGAGCATAAGCTAGCTTTTCGACCAGTATGTTTAAACGTGAAGATTAAACATATGTTTGCATCTGAAAACTTTGACAAGTCCTCTGGTATTTCCTACCCACAATTTAGATTTGTACAGGAATAATGATGTCGGAAATTGTACTTCACTCTCTGTGAGCAAAAACTTCAAGAATATCCCAGAAGGACTCAGTAAATGGATCCGATGATTTTTTGCGTCGGTAACGAGGATGTTACAATAGGAGTCACATGTCACGTCATACGGATCGAAGTTCTCCATCGGGTGAAAGAAAGGGTTGTCGTCTTCTTTCAAGTTACGTCTAAGATACACACTTCTAACCTGACCAGTGGAAGACAAAATGACCAGATCACCTTTAGGAAATGCCCAGTTCACAATACAGATGTCACCGTTACCATTCTGTGTGATTCGTGCGGGGTATATTAAATGAAACCCCTCTTCCGTATATTTGTACTCACGTATAAGATCACCTGTTAAAGTCAGGTGTCTCACTAGACATGGGAAAGGATCACTGACAAGAATATAGCCGGGAGGTTTCGTTGTTAAGGTGACTAAGAGACCCCCATCAACTGACGGACAGATTCCTAATGGTAAAAGATGCTTTGTATTCGTGATTACAGAGACTGAATCTGAAGGAAAGAGTTGGCAAATGGTTTTTTTCTCATTATCAGTGAAAAACACTTCACCACCTTTACAAACACAGAGATCGAAAGGATTTATCATGAGCTTTCTTTTCTTCATTCCTTGTGTGTCAATTTGATTCACGTAGTCTAATGTATGAGACTGAATATAACCAACATCTTCATCACATACCTCAAGTATACGTATTGGTTTATCTCCGTATCGAAACGATTCTGCTTCATCAGCAATGACATCAATCGACAAAGTTTCCTGTAAGACATCAAAGATTTTTCCTCCATCGTATTCCACAGGATCTTCAATGTCTCTAATATCAAACTGTAGCTGTTTCAGAAATTTCAAGTTGTCAATCAGGTTGAAATCTGACATATTTCCGCTATTTTTCTCGATAAATTCCACGGTGTCAACAATTTGATTTTGTTTCTTGGCTAACTGAGATTTTACACAGCTATTATGTTCGTCTGTCTTGCTCAGGTTGTTTTTAAGTGTTTCTTCATTGCTTCTCTTGATTTCTGTCAGCCTGTTAATCACTTCATCAAAATGTTTATGCAAAATTCCAACATCATAATCAAAATGATTTTCATTATGCCTTTTCTGTGTTGATATTTTCTCTTTACTCTCCTCAATCTCCGGTATGTCTCCCTCCTTTATCCCCGTTAGGTACCCCGTTAGACCTCTCCTTCTTTGACAAGCTACGTTAGCTAGAGTTTCCCAGTTGTGTTTCTTGTGCTTAGTTTTTGCACACTTGGAACAAATGAATTCATCACAATCCTCACAGAATATATCAGTCCGAATGCTATGTTTGTCACAAGTTGGAATATGTTCTTGAGGAGAGCCTACAGCAGATTCTGGTTTGTTGGCCGCCATTACTACTTGTGTTGAATTGCCATATTCCTATAAAGATAGTTGGCGATACGATTCACTGGTTTGGTTGTAAAGCGTTGAAGGAGCTCTCGATTTTCCCTATGAATTGAGAATAGAAATGCAAATCAATAATATGGATTTAAAGCATACGATCTAAATAACCAGGAACAGACACCTTCTTTCGATTTATCGTCCATGAGAAGAATTACACTGCTCTCTCTCTGTATATATTTTTTTATATATTGAAATTGAAAACTTTTTCCATCATCAACTTTCCCTATTTATGTAGTAATATTCGGCTATCATCTGCATATGGTGTTTATGTCTCCCAACGTATTTGCTTTTCAAGTTTTAAACAAAGGCAGACTATTCAGATATAAGTAGATGCTGCAGGGATTTAAACAACCTCGTTTAAAATGTCAGCATTTCGTAACCTTTTTGATCATTATAACGACCTTATTAACAAATATAATCTATAACTGTGTCGTATTTTGGCTGACCTGTTTCGTTGGCTGGCCGCGTCAAACCTAAAAAGTAAACATAGGTAGTGATTGTTCCTTCGCCAAGCGCCTGGCATTAGAAGTGAAAGTCACAGATCATTCGTATGAGACTTTAAAAATCGAACACCCGTGTTACGATAAAAGTTGGCACGACAAAGAACCCTCACTGTTCAATGCCCTGAGTGCCGAGTATAGGTTTAAATTTGAAGCCCTCTGCCGGCATATGGTGACGTCTCTTTATCAGTGGAAAATTCTCGAATAAGACGTAAAAAAACATACAATCAATCAATCAATACTTCTCATTCCCGGTAGACCAGTTTTGCTCCTATTGCAATATAACTAAGTATAAAAATACATGTACTTAAATGATCAGTTTTTGATTTTAACAAAAGAACGTTGCCATTGCAAATATTTTATTGAAAAATTTACAGATAGCTATCACTAGAATGGTTCCTGAGGCCATACCCTTCGGAAGATCCAGATACCAGGCTAAGCTAATACATTTTTTTTTGCTGTTTGATGTATATATAAAGTTTAATTTCATAATTTCTTTTACATGGTTTCTTTTGAGTTTAAAACTAATATAGTATCAATTCTAAGATACCTTGTAAACAGAACATTCTTGGCCTAAACCTAACAATAATATCTTCTCTCCACCTGGATGTAAAATAATGTTTTAAGAATCGGTCATGTCGGAGATGTGGTCAGAAATCTGATTTTGCAATTTAAGATTTGTAATGTACAGCTGTTTTGAAGATCCACTCTTTAACACTGATTGTAGCATGACTCTTGCTTCAAGTATTGTAGTGGAAAACCTTCTCAACTCATCATAAGCAATTTCAATGTTTCCAATAGAATCTGCATGAGTCAGTTCAAATCGTTTCAGCCACTTTGTATGTGCATTGTCCAAAAGTGATTAGATTTCTTGAACTTTCTCTTCAGTGTTCATACATATTTCCTGTTTCCTGATATTGAGTTCGGCTTTTAGATTTAATTTTTCTAACAGCATATCTTCAACGCCTTTCTCCAAACCAATATATTTTGAAACAATATTTTGAATGTAATCTCGGTCAACCCCTAGAGCTGTATCTTCAACTACCACATTCTTGCACGATTTGTGCTGTTTGACAAGGCATATACTACAACATAGCTTTTGATGGTTTGGCAGAACACATCGAGTATCTTCCCTTTGTGCAAAAGACATGGCTCTTCTATCTCAATTTCACTGTTCACCTCCTTGATGTCTGCAAAGTTAATAAGTTTATGATCCTGCAGACTTAGAACAAGTCTATGAAATGATTTGCAATCTTCACTAATAGCTTCCATGCAAATCTTGCACCAGTGTTTTGCAGGTACCGTTTTCTCTTACCGTTTGCAAAACATACAGTATATATTTTCTTCATCTTGCTTAGGATCTACAGACAAAGTCAGAACAAGTTTATTCATAGGTAATTCCATTTCTTCATTTGAAATGTTATCTCTCGGAGTGTCGATACACCTACGTACGACAAACGGGACATTCGATCGATTTAACTGTTGGTTTCCTTATGTGCTACCGTCCTTGAAATGTAAGTCTGAATACACGGCTCACAGAATGTGTGATAATGTAGCAGAGCAGCAATTAACACAAGGTGGTTTCAGTGTGATGTTGTTTATTACAAGGATTATACTAGTACCAGATTCTGCAAAACATTATAAAATACATTAATTAAATTTGATATCACATATAACAGCAGAATCTACTGTCATCATAAAATCAGATAATTACTACATATTAATTAGGTCATAAAATAATAGATATTGACACAGGTCAATGAGTTTATCTCTTGACTTCAAATACAAATATATCTCTTTATATATTCCTTCATATAGTGGATAATAAATATTTACAATACACATGTACATAGCTACATATCAAACTATGGGTATGAATCCATCTCTAATATATTTCTAACACAGTATATATATGTCTTGCTATGGACTGTCTACTATTCATAAATAACATTTATACACTATATATCCTTTGTGTCATAAAATACATCAGTTCATTACAAAGTTTAAAATCAACTAGTTCATCAGCTTTTGACAAACTTAAATAATTTGATAAATTCTCTCATATGCCTCTTTTCATTCATACAATTATTAATATGAAATATGAAAGGATTAATATGAAATAAGAATGTCAAAAAGTCAACTTACTGTCAGTGGTCTATAAAGTTCTCCAAATAACAAAAATACAACTTTATACACTGACTGCTCCTGGGCTAGTAATTAGCTGGACACTCTAGACAAAGGGGTTAAAGGTTTTGGCGGGAAAATATTAAGCAATGGCTATTTTTAGTTATTTATTTATTCAAGGTTAAGAGTTAAACTTTAGTTGTAATTTTAGAACTCTAGAGATTTCTAGACTTTAATTATAGGTAGTTGTTATAAATTTATTTAAATGTTTAATATTTAAATAAAACATTTTTATTTTAAATCAAGTTTATTATTGAAAGTTATTTCATAACTTTCAATGGCATCTGAAAGAAAAATACTGTTAATTAAAATCAATATAAAATCATGACTATCACAATAATACGGCAAATATTTCGGTTTTCTTACCTCCTCTTGACATATTGGACAGTGTCATTTATCCCTTTCAAGGTTAGCAACAGGGGTTTCGTTTTTTGCATCAGCCATTCAATAGAAAGAGGGATATGTTTCTGAAGCCCCCAGCTTTCCGTTTACACTATGTTTACTATGGAACGCTGATTGTATTAAAAGTAATAGGCAAGGACACGATTTTGAAGTTTATTACTTTCAAAATTTCTGGTAGACGGATCTTTCATGAATTTGATGTTGGCTGAGCATTTAGGCCTTATGAATTATGTTTTTTTGTTTGTTTACCGTCCCTTCGATAATTTTCACTTCTATTTAGACGCCACCACTTGCCGGTGGAGGGCTGCTTTTAAACCTTTACTAGTACTTGTCACCTTTGAGGAGTGAGGGATCTTTTTCCTGTCAGCATTGTTGCAACGCGAAATGTAATAATCCTAAAAAGTCTGTTGCGTTATTGCATTCTGCGTTGATCTCGACGCAGACTGTAATAACGCAAAATGCAATAATCCCGGTTTATTACATTTTGCGTTGTTATTACATTTTGCGTTGTAACACAGCATCTACTGCTACACTGGACTCCGGTTTATACGGTTTCATCCGAAGGACCGGTCTTTACGTCCTACAGTGGGATTCGAACATATTAAGGTATTCACTCGTGAAATTTGTTATATCAAGGATTTTTTGAGAAGTATATTTTGGATAAGTACTCATATAGTATGACTCAAAATCGCAGAGAAAATGAGGGGTCAGTGTGCATCTAACTGAGCTACGGTACAATTAAGTTGACCTTTTTGCACTTAAATTGTAACTCTTTGGTTAATCACTTTAACCGTTATCATATTTTATCACATGTAACAATGGCAATAAACATAAACTTATTTTACGTAAAATAGTTTGAATAATATTTATCATTGAACAAATCATGCAAATTAATGCGCGTAAATTATTGTGTGACCTTTTTGCACTAAAAAAGTCTCATATTTGGGGTATTAAAAATCTAAATAGGCAATAGAATATTTTTTTGTATCAAACTTTTTACGACTTAAGTGCTGATCGGTCAAAAGTATCGAGTAGTTTAAATTAATGAAAGAAAAAGTTGGGGTCAGTGATGTAAATTTTGAAATATTGGTCAAAATATGCGATTTTCAGGCAAAAAACTGTGTAAATTTTATCTCGACTTCCTTAATATATCTTCATTTCTTGGCAAAACTTGTTGAGAGAAGGTGTACATTTTGTTATAAAAATATAAATTGAGACCTATATTTAATATCCCAAGCATATCATAACGGAAAATATTCTCTACGTAAAAGTATGTGAGGCTTAAGTTCCAAGATATTAGATTTAATAAATGTGTAGATTTGCAGAATTTTCTGCTAAATATCCTTCCACCACAAGAAATAGTCCCTTATAAATCTTGCTTCTTTATGAATTTTTGAACAGTTTTTTAATTGAATGTTGAACATTTTGCATTGTTTAATTTAAATATGTTATAAAGATTGAATTGTAATAAATAGTTTTTAATTAAGAGGTTCTGACTGAAATTTTCTAAAAGGCTGACGAGTGACATACCTTAAGAAATGGTGTTCATTCCGCTCATTTGCATGGCGTCCTTATTGTGACTATAATGGCGACAGATTCCATAAAGGTTTACATAGAGAAAATACAAAAATTCGCAAATTTTATCTAATATCAATTTCAGATAAAGTTTTTTTGCCGATTGTTTAGTTTTTCTTAATATCTTCTACTAGAAATGACCAGATTATTGATACCAAGGTGAAAGTTGCAACCACCTGTTTGATTTGAAAATTCGAAGCAAGAGTATATCGTTTTATTGAAGGAAAGTGCACTGAATTTGTGTTTCTATCATTTTTTCAAGATGAAACGCAAGTGTTTATTTCAAATTGATAGACTTCTTTCGCCGATTAATAGGATTAAGAGAAAGCCTATTTTTATAAAATACAGATGATATCTCTGACGTGTTGGAGGTAAGTGTTTGCTCTGCACCTATTTTGTTATGTTTAATGGACTTCTGAGCTTGAATACTGTTCGTTATTTCCATATATTTCATGATTTATCTTTTCGTGCAAAGTTACGACCGCCTTTTTAATCTGAAAAGGTAATTTCTTGCATCAGTGTGACCTACTTATTATTTTTAAAAAATTGTTATCATAAGTTGTCAATGTTAACCACACAAAATTCTACTCATACTATAAGGGAGGCTTGAAGAAAAAAAAACCCCAAATGAACCGGTCTTGAAGGTTTTAATGTCAAAATTTGAAGAAATTTGAGTTTATGCAGAGTCTTATGAATATTCATGAAAAGTAAATCACGTGAAAGTAATCTTTGAATAAATTGCACATTTTTCTCCAACGACCCGCGACGTTAAGTTTATCTCCTTATTCCGGCGACTCTAGAGCAAACGACCTAAGCACTGCGCCACGTGGACGATCTGAAAAACTAAAAAAGTGCGTCTAGAATTTTTTATTTATTTATTTTTTTAATGAAAATTATCGTCACTACGAATTTCATGTTTGTTTGATTGTCAAACATACTAGAACACATTCAATTTTATTCTTAACAAAGCACAACATTAGTGGTGCATTAAAATGTTAAAAATCTATGTAAGAAAAGATAGCAAAACCCACATACCCACTAGTGTTGTCTGTTCCTGTTCACTGATTAAGAAAATCAAACAAACAGTCGGCGATTTAACCAGTGCATGAGGTTTTTGACAACAAGAGCAATTAAATCGGTCTACATCACACATGTTTGAATCTAAAAGATCTTGAATTATTGAATAAATGGTGAAATGAAAATAACGAATCATGATTGATCTTAAAAATATAAATAAACAATACAAATCTGTGAACAAGGCAAAAACACGGATCCCCAGAAATTCCATAGGTGTTATCAGGTGCTTAGGAGTAAGCGTCCCCTGTTGACCAGTCACACCCGCCGTGAGCCCTATGTATTGATCAGGTAAACGGAGGATTCCGTAGTCGAATTCAGTACATGTATAAACACAAAGACCTAAACCATGATTAGTATAAAACATGCCAGCCAAAATACGACCCCGGTTTTAGTGAAACGCTCGTTTACATGCACGTCTAGCAATCGTAAAAGTAATCGTACGTTTACGATCTAAGATTTGTTAGTGAAACGGCCGCCAGGTTATTTGCGAATGACTACCTTATGTATAGGGCCATTACTACAGAGACCGATGTCAGGCAATTCCAAATGGACCCTGACAACCTCCAAAATTGGGAAGCAGACTGGCTTATGCATTTCAACCCAGAAAAGTGTGAGATCCGTATTACCACCACACGGAAGCAACACATAACCCCATAATACATCAATGGGAAGGAGCTGGCCGTTATCACCAAGGCCAAGTTCCTAGGGGTCAAACATCTCCAACAACCTATCGTGGAACCATCAAATCGATAGTGTTTGTAAGAAGGCAAACAAAACCACCGCCTTCTTACGGAGGAACCTCTCGTCCTGTCGAAGCAACATCAAGGACAAATGTTATACGACCTTGGTCAAACCCCAGGTAGAATATGCATCCACCCTCTGGGACCCTCACACAAAGACATCGACAAATTAGAAGCGGTGCAAAGAAGGGCAGCTAGGTTCGTAATTAATAACAACGACACCACCAGCAGTGTCACAACAATGATTGACAGGCTAGAATGGGAGAGTTTACACCAACACAGAATCAAAGCAAAGGCTATCATGATGTAACGTGTTGTACATTCCCTTATTGCCATAGATCTGCCTTCCCAAATCAGCAAAACAGGAGCAGCCACAAGGGGGCATCAACACCGGTACAGGACCCCATTCTGCAGTACCAACGTCTACAAGGAATCATTCTTTCTTACTACCAGCTACCCGAATACACTATCATGGCCATGTCCCCGGAGTCCTTTAAGTCAAGGATTCAGGGATATAAAGCGCCTTAAAGGAACTTGGACATGTTTTTTTTTTTTATCAGTTTTTAAATTGTAAATAGATGCGTGGACTCCCCTCCCGCACACGTTTTTAATCGAAGTGAGAAAATGCTGTAGCAGCGGCCCTTCACTTTAAAGGAAGAAGAAGGATGTCCAGGAGTAACGAAGGGAGTTTTTCATGATAAAATTAATTTTGATGGTTTTGGTCTCTCTCTCAGTCCCCAGGTAGGCAGAGTCTATGAGGTTTTGTTCCCTTCACACACAAATGCTATATACCATATGCTGAAATTGGTTCAGCAACTCCAGAGAGAAAGCTTAAAATGTTCAAAAATGTATTACCGACTTACAACAAGGGTCAAAACCAGAGCAAAAGGTCTCCTGATGATTCGGTAAATATACTTTTTAGCTCACCTTGACGAAGTCTGCTAAGTTTTAGAACCTGAGCAACTACCTTAAAACTGGGTGATTGAATGGCGCATATATATTTACGGATATATATAACATGATCTTTCGTTTTGTTTGAGACTTTGCCTTTATTCTAGATAACATTTGTATTGATCCCCGCAAAGTTTTAATATACCTATGAAAATTAAAGGGTCTATGAAATCCAGGTCCCAATTTTGAATTTTTATTTTTATCACATGATATTGTTTTAATATTTAATTGAATAATCAAGTTATAGACACACTTCTAAAGTCATAATAATAACAATAAAACTTTCAATATTCGTAAGGATGTGCATATTTACATTAGTTTGAAACCAATGATATTTTAGATCAACATGGTGGTTTATTTTGGTGAATGTGTTTTTATTAGATTAAGTGTAGATAATAATAGTATCAATTTATAACTGCATTTCAATAAAATAAATCATATAAAAATCAATAGCAATGAGTAACATACGTCAATTATCTACACAGAGTCTACATGTGTAGCAATCGCCATTCAAATAAGGAAAAAGATTATGAAATAAATACTAGAATATTCTTCTAGTAACCCTGTTCGTAGAATTTAAAAATTGATTTACAGAATAGGTATTTTGACAGAATCTACTTATGTGACAAATTTTTGGGAATATTTAAAAAAAAAATATTAACAAGCAAAACGATTGCTATACGGAGCTGGACACTTTGCCAGTTCATAAAGCTTTTCTACCAGTATGTTTAAACGTGAAGGTTAAACATGTGTTTGCATCTGAAAACTTTCACAAGTCCCCTAGTATTTCCTACCCACAATATAGATTTGTACAGTGATAATGAGGTCGGAAATTTCATTTCATTCTCTGTAAGCAAATACTTCAAGAATATCCCAGAAGGACTTAGTAAATGAATCCGGTGATTTTTTGTGTCGGTAACAAGGATGTTACAAAAAGCGTCACATGCCACGTCATACGGATCAAATTGGTAGACAGGATTGTTGTTCGTCAAGTTGCACCCACGATACACAAACTTAACTTGGCCAGATGAAGACAAAATCTTCAGATTATCACTAACCCAGTCTACAACACAGATGTCGCTGTTACCATTCTGTGTAATACGTTGCGGAAAAGAAAAGAGTCTCGCTAATTCACACCCAGGAGAACCACCTAACTCACGTTTGACGTCACCTGTTAAAGTCATATGTCTTATTAGGCTTGTAAAAGGCATCAAGAAATCAGAATAATCTGTCAAGGCGACCAGAAGACCACCATCCACCGACTGACAGATTCCTAGTGGTTCTAAGTTCCCTGTATTCATTATTACAGAGACAGACCCTGAAGGAAAGAGTTGGCAAATAGTATAGTTCTCATTATCAGTGAAGAAGACTTCACCATTCTTACAAACACAGATATCACAAGGATTTATCATGAATTTTCGTTTCTTTTTCCCTTGACTGTTGATCTGATTGAAGTAGTCTAATGAAAAAGACTGGATATAACAAAAGTCCTCACCCCATACCTCAAGTAAACGTATTGGAATATCTCTGTATTGAAATAATCCTGCTTCTACAGCGGTGACATCAATTAACAAAGTTTCTTGTAAGTCGTCAAGGACTTTTCCTCCATCGTATTCCACAGGATGTTTAATCTCTCTAATATCAGACTGTAATTGTTTCAGAAGTTTCAAGTTGTCAATCAGGTTGAAATCTGACATATTTCCGCTGTTTTTCTCGATAAAATCCATAGTGTCAATAAGTTGATTTCGTTTCTTGTCTAAATGAAATTTTACACAGCTATTATGTTCGTCTGTTTTGCTCAGGTTGTTTTTAAGTGTTTCTTCATTGCTGCTCTTGATTTCTGTTAGCCTGTTAATCACTTCATCAAAATACTTCTGCAAAACTGTGATATCATAATCAAACTGATTTTCATTATGCCTTTTCTGTGTTGATATTTTCTCTATACTCTCCTCAATCTCCGGTATGTCTTCCTCCTTTATCTCCGTTAGGTACTTTAAGAGTCCTCTCCTTCTCTGACTAGCTGCGTTAGCTAGAGTTTCCCAGTTGTGATCCTTGTGCTCAGTTTTTGCACACTTGGAACAAATGAATTCATCACAATCCTCACAGAATATATCAGTTCGTAAACTATGTTTGTGACAAGTTGGAATGTGTTATTGAGGAGAACCTACAGCAGATTCTGGTGTGTTGGCCGCCATTATTACTTTTGTTGAATTGCCATATACCTATAAAGATAGTTGGAGATACGATTCACTAGTTTCACTAGTTGTAAAGCGTTGAAAGAGCTCTCAATTTTTCTTATGAATTGAGAATGAAAATGCAATAAATAATGGGGATTTAAAACATACACGAAGTTGTTAGAAAATCTAGATAATCAGGAGCAGACACCTTTTTTCGATTAATCGTCCATGAAAAGAATTACACTGTTCTCTCTCTCTCTATTTAAGGAATGTTTTTAAGTTTTGTGTGAGTTATTGGTGTGTAAATCACACAGACTTGTCACGTAGGCGTATTTCATGAAAAATGACCACAGCCGTAGAAAAATGTCATTTTTTAAAGAAAGAACCATGGGGAGTCAGTTCTCTACATGTGCAATCTATAGCAATTTATCCCCGTTGATAAATGACTCCCATTCCAATAGCTGTAGAACTGTAGCTCTCTGCTTTTTTTTTTCAAGAAAGAGCTACAGTTAGGCAGCTACCATTCCAACAGAGTGATTCAAAGTTTAAAAGAAGTGATTGATGCGACGGTTTGGGTCTCAACGATTAATTCTCATGTGTTTTTCCGACGAACGTTGGACCAACACGCAATTAAATTATAATAGAACTGCATTACATATGATTATGTCTATTACGCATATTGTATTCTTGCTAAAAAACTGGCACAGTAGATACATTACACTGACTTTCCAATAATACTTATTATGTCGTCCAGAACATAAGTCGGGAAGACATATTGATATCGCTAGACCTATTTTTTTGTCCATTGAAAAAGATAACGAACAGTGACCGATCTAAAAAAAATCTATAAACATTACAAATCTGTGAATTGGGCATAAAACACCAACCCCTGGAAATTCCAGAGGTGAGATCAGGTGCCTAGGAGTAGTAAGCATCCCCTGTTGACACGTCACACCCGCTAAGTCCTATGTATTGATCAGGTAGACGGAACTTTACGTACTAAAATTCAGTATAAAAGTAAAAGCCTAACAATTGGTATGAAACATGTCAGGCAAAATATGACCAATGATAGGTTATATTTGCTATCAAGTTCATCATAACAACCACAAAATTTACGAAATGCTAACTTTAAACGGAAATGTTGAAACATCAACTTATCTGTCAACAGCCTGCCTCGGCTTAAAACTTGATCGTACTCGGAGCATGCTCTTGAGTATCGAATAAGTTGGGAGATGTAAACAAAATATTCAGGTGATACTAGTAATGGGATATTACTACATAAATAAGGAAAGTTGACAATGGAAAAGTTTAGTTGCTAGTCTGAATGTCGAGTTGAAGGCCAAGGTAGTGTTTTCTTCTTCTCATTAAGAAGTTTTTAATTAAATTCTGCTTCATAGAAATATAAAAACAAGTCGACTAAAAAAGGAGGACAATTACTGCCGATCGGAATTCCAACAGATGTTTGGAGGACCTGGCCTCCGAAGACTACAGAAATATTGTCACTGAGGAATTCTAGCACCCTTTTCCTTAATTTTGTTCAAAGGATTTCCTGATATTTGCTAGTTTTTCTATGATTTCTGCAAAATGTTTCTTTTCAAAATTGCTAAATTGGACAGTTTCCCAGTTATGATCCTGATGGTTTGATTTCTTACACTGGGAACAAAAAAAAAAATCATCACAAGCCTCACAGACTATATCAATATGTACACTGTGTTTGTCACACGTAGGCATATGTTTTTGTTGAGCACTATGCATTCTTAATTACCCATCGCCATTTCCACAGGATGTTGGATAATGTATCAAAGAAATGATATGATATGGTTAAATGATTCGATTAAGTAAAGTGCTGAATGTCCCGATTTTTTTTTTATCAGAATCATATACTGTGAAAGTAAAAATGCAAATAGATTTTATTTCTAAAGTTATACAACGGATTTTCATATGTAAAGAATCTCTTTTTATCATGTTCAAATAAACAATACAGAAAAGTAAGAAGCAAATGCCTGATGACCATTTATTTACTTTTTCAAAGCTTTAAAATATGGTCAATTTCGAATTGGACATTTCTTTGTCGAGTTGTAATTAAATAGAAAATTCCACATCTTCGAAATACAATTCTTTAATTTGTTATTTTGGCTGTATTCCAACATGGTGATGACAATGAAAGGCATATCGTGTAGCTTGTTTCCTTTCATTAAAACATAAACTATGGACAAATATGAATTTTAATACAAAAAATTAGGTTCCTTAATTTACATTTTTTGTACTTGATACACAATAAGCTGAAAAATAAAAAGTTAAAAAAACGCACCAACTTGCTAGTACTAGAGTTCATCTGAAATAGGTCAATGCCTACAAATTAACTTTACGCTATTTTCGTAATTAAAAACTTTTACAAGGCTATCTTCATTTCCCACCCGAAGGTTTGATTTCCACAAAGATATTGAGGTGGGGAAATTTACTTCATTTTCATTCAGAAAGTACTTTAAAATCTCTCCGTCAGGGCTCAGTAGATGAATTCGTTCGTTTTATCGGTCTGACACAAGAATAATAGGGAATCGCAGACCACGTCAAAAGGTAAAAAGTTCCACTTCAATGTCTGTCCACGGTAGGTTGATCTGAGATGCCCAGAAGAGGACAAAATAATAAGATTCCCTTTAGTTCTGCTTGTCCAGTTCACAACACAGATATCCGAGTTACCATTCTGAATGACTTTGAAAGGCATAGTAAACAACTTAGTTTTACCGTCAGCAGTGTGCTCGTATTCTCGGATAGTGCCACCAGTCAATGAAACGTGTCTCACAAGACGTCTGCTGTCTGAATTTAAATTCATCCATTGTGTTGTGTTTAATGTCACCAAGAGGCCTCCGCTTCTCTGAATACATATTCCTCTCGGTAACAGTGGATCTGTTCTAAGAACTATAGAAACAGATCCTGACGGTGAAAGGCGAGCGATGGTCCTGTTCTCAATATCAGTAAAGTATACACTGCTTCTACTCAGACATAAGTCATTTGGTTTTATCTTGAATTCTTTTTTCTTCTGGCCTTTTTATTTATTAGTTTGGTGTAATCAGAGTGGAAAGAGTTTATATAAAAATCATCGTCACTGAATGGCTCCAACGTCAGAATTGTACTGTCTCCATATTGGAATGATTCTATTTCATTGGCAATGATCTCATCTGTATCAAGAATTTTTCCAAACATAGATTTCAGTTGCTTTTCACATATTTTTCCTCGTCTAAATCTCTTTTTCTGTTCACATTTCTTCATATCAACATCCAAATCAGACATTAGTTGTGTCAGTTCTCTGTGGTTGTCAACAAAACTGTAGTCAGACATGGTGCCGTTGTTCTCCTCAATAAATTTCACCAGATCAAGAAGTTGTTTCTAACTGTGATTAAGAATGAATCACTTGTTCATTCTTTACTGCAAGACTGTCTCTAAGAGCTTGTTCGTGTTTTTTCTTGATGTCTTCGAGCTTCGTTATGATCTCCTCGTGATGTTTCTGCATAACTTGTATATCCTTATCACATCGACGTTTACCCTCTACATTTTGTGACATGAGCCTATGTATTTTATTATCAATCTCTGGTATTTTATCCTTTATAATTTTGAGATAAGTATGAAGGCCTCTCCTTATTTCACTGACTACCATTGCTAACGTTACCCAGTTATGATTACTATGGTCTAATTTTGCACATTTGGAGCAAATGAATTGGTCACAATCTTCACAGAACATATCAATTCGTACACTGTGTTCGTTACAAGCTGGGATGTGTTCCTGAGGTGAACCAACGGTGCCTTCTCTATTTTCAGCCATTATTCTGTTTATGTTGAAAAGTTCTCAAATTTTAACGCTTGCTTTAACGCCAGATTTAAAGTGTAAAATCGAAAAGGAAATATGGCGAGTTTATCGGCTAAATCTGTAAATGGTGGTATAAGTCAGTATTCCAAATGATGGATGCTTTTTAAAATTTAAAACATTACCTGAGTTTAAACTATGTCCTTTGTAACAAGACAATTCAACCACTATCTGCCATTAAAGATATTGTGCAGTCATAAACCTTTATGACAATTACTACAACCCATCCTGTATCCCTAAAAAGTCCAATGCTCTGCGACTGATACAATTCCAATGTGATCGATCGCAGTCTAGGGCCATTGCACACGTTTCCAGAAGACTCAGTGTGCAAATCAATGGAATCAACAGTCATTACCCATGTTTATATCTTAGGTTTCACGCGGCGCGGCGAATTAGCATCGAACCCGACCGGTCCTCCTGATCACGGAGTGAACGCCCTACCACTAGGATACCAGAAGTAAAATTGATGCAAAGCATCAAATCAACTTTTCAATTTTTATTCATGATGCACTTTTACCACTTAATTATTATCCGGAAAATCATGACGCTTTGAGTTCATACCTTACACTCTCCGAGGTTGGGAGTATCTATTGTAAACTCTTTATAAAATCATAAATTAATAATTATCTGATGACAAGTGAAAATGAAATTGAAATATAATAACAACAATTGATATTTGGTTTAAAGCAAGTTTTTGAAATATTTTATTCATGATTTTATACATGTTATCATTAAAAAACTATTTTCTGAATTAATAAAGAAATAACTTCTCATTTCCTCATGTACAATTTCTAACACACCCACAAATAGATCGGCCACTCAAAAACCAAAATGCTAAGTTATGTAATTTGGAAAAGTCTAATTCTGTAGCCGTAAAATGTACGTACAGTAATAAGGTAACAGTACCGATCAATCGGTATCGGATTCCTTAGTCCGTGCACTGCTCGTAAAGTGTTTCACATTTCACAACACGTGTTTCTCGGTGAAATATTATACCTCCACCTACAAATATTGAATATTCACATAAAATTTAAAGCTTAACAGCATTCATGCAAGAACCTGCATAAAATTTAAAAAGGCACTTAACAATATTTCATAAAGCACATTCACAGCAATGCAAAAGTTTAGATATAAAAGAACACACAGCAGTTATTAT